AATTCCTCATTTAAGTATTACTTTTCATTGTTTTTTAAAAAATATCTTTGCTTATTTGTTCACTTTTTTGACATTTATTATATGCTTTTTATCATATTTCCGATGATATGAATATATATTCTATATAAGAATGACGCTACATTCAATCTAAGACCAATATCTCAAAGAATTCCTCATTTAAGTATTACTTTTCATTTTTGATTCAATTTTCGAACGGTTTTCGTAAATTTTGCATCATTTCATTTTTTAATGGGAAAATCATCTATATTTAATCAAAAAAGAGCAAACTTTACAGACGAAAATAAAATATTTATCAGGGAACAATCTGATAAATACCAAAAATCAACATCGAGAGATGAAAAAACGAATATAATCAAACAAGTTCTTCAATATTTTAATATTAAATACGCCGAAAATGAATCTAAAGCTGTCAGAAGATATTTTAGTTATATTGCAGTTAAAAATATTCCCGCAGTTACTGGAAAATATCCTGATACAATTGTTCGCAAAGATATGCTTTATTCGCATGATCATACAAATATTATTAATTCAAATAATATTGAACGTTACTACCGTTGCATCGATCATTCTTGTCAAGCACGTTATTTAGTTAAAATTGAGAACAGTTCAGTTTCCGAAGATTTACAAAAGGAACATATACCCGAATGCAGACAATTTAAAAAGTTACAAAATGAAAAAAATGATCTTCATAAATCAATGACTCTGACAGAAATATACAATAAGGCAATGGCAAAATTTTCTGAAGACAACGGCACTTTTCAGCAGATTAAAAAATTTATGACAGAACTTGCTGTTGGTACTGATGAAAACCCATTAATTAAAGATTCATTGGTCAGGGAAGTTTATAATAAGTCCAGAAAATTTTCTGTTGGAGAAAAAATTACAGACGATGAAATTGCTAATTTTTGTTTAATAAATGGCGAGCAGTTTTTCATTGGCCATGATTTTCAAGCAAATTGTGAGACGATGTTTTTTGGTTTTGAGAAGGCAATTCAATTTGCAAAAGAAGCCACAGATTTATTTTGCGATGGAACTTTTAAAATTACACCAAAACATTTTCAAAAAGGACAGATGCTAACAATTATGATTTGTGAACCTTCAACAAATCAATATCTACCACTTTTATTTATATTCATGAAAAACCGCACATTTGAATCTTATAAGAAGGCATTTGAATATATTTTTACTGTCAAGGGTATTCAATTTTCAAAGCTAATTCAAATTCATTGTGATTTTGAAAAGGGAATGATAGAGGCACTTCAACAAATTTTCCCTAAAGTCCGTATAATTGGATGCCTATTTCATTTCAAACAAGCTTTACACAGGAAACTTGTAGCACTTTATACAAAAAATTTCAATACTTTACAAAATTCTTTATTTAAGCTATATTCTATTACTCCATTCATGTCTCATGAAGAATTTGTACTTACAATGCATATAATTAATCAAAATAAAGTTGATTCGATCAAAGATTATATTGATTATTTCAACAAAGTTTGGTTGCCGCACTACAATTTAATATCTCAATATAATAATGCAACTGCAATATTCACTAATGATTGCCTCGAGAGTATGCATTCAGAATTTTCTTCGTTAAAACATCCAAACATTTATGAAGCTATTAAGAAGATATCTCAAATCCAATTAGATAAATATAACGCCATCAAAAATAACCAGAAGATCGAGCGCCATATAAAAACCGTTATCACTGATAGCTACAAAAATTATATTCTTGACTGCTTTCAAAAAGAACTTGAGAAAACAATTTTTTCTATCAAACAATACAACGTAAGTGATCTTTCTTTGGCTCAGAACGAGATTTCTCCATATGGTTCCATAGAATCGAGTTCATTGTTCGAAAATATTCCAGTTCATGATGCAGATATACTCAAATCGATCGATCTAACAGATAAAGATACAATGATCACTAAGTTTATTAATGAAAAAAGAGAAAAAATTATGGCATTATTTAATGAAACATTAAATCATCCAGATTTTAATTCATCCACTCCAATTCAAACTAATTTTGAGCAAGCCGATACAAATCAAGGTTCAGATGCTCCAATTCGCTCCGAAAATTCAAATATTGCAGACTCTTCAGATTTAGAACCAGAAAATCAAAACCATCCTTCTACAAATCAAATGTCTAGTAATCTAGAACATAAGCTGGACCTTCTTGATCATATTGAAAAACAATTATCGAAAATGCGCTCGTTATTGGGAATTCTTCCTACTACAAATGCTATTGTTGGGCCGTCAAAACAAGTTTCAGTGAGTAGGGGTAATTTTAGCTAAAAGTGACACACCTGTAAAAACTGACACACCCGTGAAGGGTGTGATTACCGATCGGTAATTTCGACAGTTTAGAATTTAAAATTTTTTATGGAACTGTTGCGAGTTTCATAAAGAATTTAAGGAATATAAGCAAAGATTTGAATCAAAATCTTAGACCTAAGCCGATCGCTTCGCTCGCGGCTTCCGCGAATTACAGATCAGCAAAGATTTGAATCAAAATCTTCGAACTAAGCCGATCGCTTCGCTCGCGGCTTTCTTTATTATTTTAAATTTGCATATTTGCATCAAAAGTTCATAAGGTAAAAAATTTCGTTTATATTATTGCAAAATAAAATCTTCATTATCAAAATAATATTAAATAATAATATAATATAATTTATAAACAACTATTATTTAATAAAGTTTAATTGCCAAGGTTCATCTAATTTTTTGATTTTTAATGTTTTATGAATTTTATTTATCATGTATATATCTAATGAAGATTATATATGTAGAAGATAAGTACCTTAATATGTACGTAAATTTTAATGAAATTTATACAACATTATAAAAATTTATGAATAAAAACTTGATATAAAATAACATTTTTATTTTTACTAAGAAAAAAAAAGGTTTTTGATAATAAATTTATTTTATTTCGAAAAAGTAGCAATAATCGTAAAAGGGTATTGATAGGCTTGCTAAAGTAACTAATTTTAGCTGTCAAATACTTTTGTATTTTGAAGTAAATTAGTATAAATTTGTTTTTACTTTTATTTCGAAAAAGTAACAATAATCGTAAAAGGGTATTGATAGGCTTGCTAAAGTAACTAATTTTAGCTGTCAAATACTTTTGTATTTTGAAGTAAATTAGTATAAATTTGTTTTTACTTTTATTTCGAAAAAGTAACAATAATCGTAAAAGGGTATTGATAGGCTTGCTAAAGTAACTAATTTTAGCTGTCAAATACTTTTGTATTTTGAAGTAAATTAGTATAAATTTGATATTATTTTAACTCCCTTTGAAAACCTCAATTTTCCATACAGAGGGAACGGGAATAGCATCCAATATTCCCTGAGAATGGTTGCGCATTCTCAGTTCCCTCTATATTTCGAACGAAGCTCTCATCGGTCTTTTTTTTAATACTAAACGTTTTTTTCCCCTGTCACTTTTAGCTAAAATTTGGGTTTGCCCTTTGTTCATCTTCTAAATACAATTTATTTTTTCTTAGATATAATTCTATTCATTCAATTCGATCGTCATTTTTCAGTACATGATCGTAATTTTCAATTAGTGATCGCGATTTTACTTCAGAATTTGTTCGCAAGATTGCTTATCAAAATTATATCTCTATTCTCTCATTTCTGTTTAGTCAATATCATTACACTCCTATTGTCTAATAACATGCTATTAATTTTCTTAAAATTAAAAAAAAATATCAACTTTTAAAAACAGAAACTTAACATCCTTAGGTCAATGGATTTTGATGTGAGATACATTTAATCTGTTTTTCTTTTTTTATTTTAAATAATTGAATATTTATAGTTGTTATGGGTCTTACATCATGTAAAACGAATTTTCTTAAAGTAAATTTACTTTTTCTTCAATCTTTCTTACATATTTATTAAAAAAAAATTATCCAAAAAAAGATGTTTTAGAATGAAAAAAATAGAAAAATCTTCATTTATAGTCTTTCTTGAATGTATACGTTTTGATTTTTTTCTTTTTTAAAAAATTCAATTTCTAGAAAAATCGAGAAAAATGTTATAGACCGAAAATAGATTTTTTCGGTTTTCTCTTCAAATAATTGAAAGAATGATACTATTATAGGTTTATTATATTATATAGCATATAATCATGCTATAGCCGAAAATTATAAGTTTTGAGAAGATTGAATATAACACAAATAAATTTGAATGTAAGTTAAATTGCTTGTTGTTTTTAATAGCTATTTAATGAGAAATCCAATATTGCAAAATTCAAATTGAATGATTGAAAGAACAGAAAAAGTCATTCTTTTCAATTTCGAATATGTTTCATTGTATTTATAATTATATGGCAAATAAGATATTTAAACTTGATTTTTGAAGGAAAATTCACAAAATTGAATAAATTCAAATAATTTTATTCAAAAATAAACTGGTTATTTGAGTTTAATACTAATTATCTATTCAAACTACAAAGTTTGTAATTTAAAATATTTTGTGAGATCAGATTGAATTAATTCAAGGTTCTTTTCAATTAATATTAATGACCATATTACGTATTTTCGAACATTCTAAACCAAATATATAAAAATGGGAGACGAATGCTAAATTTGCTAGACATGGGGGAGTTGTCTGCAAAGTTTTAGCTCTTATCTCTAACAAAAAATTAATTTTTAAAAAAATGACCGAATACGTTTCACAGCGAGAAGTAACAAATTAAACTCAATTTTCATATGAAAACACATCGTCAAATGTTATGAATATAAATCTAACGATGACATCATCTAAAAAAATTTTTTATTTTGAATACTCTCATGACCACATAACTCGATCTTCTCTGATTAATTTTACTGAATACAAATAGCTTACTAAAAACGGACGGAGAAATAATAAAAAGTGAGATGCACATTTGAGAACTTTACACAATAGCTATCGGGCTTCTATCTATTATCTCATTCAATTTTTTTTTATTTTATTTTTTTTCATTAGATCTTCGAATGGAGCTTGATACAGCCGATATCATCAAGATGTTCGAAAGATCGGACGTCGAAATCCTTAACAGGGCCGGAGGTATAGAAGGCCTTGCTGAAATGTTCAAGACAAATCTTGTCGATGGTATTTCCAAAGGTGAAGCCGAAAGCCACTACCATGATAGAATTGAGCTTTACGGTATCAACAAGTTACCAGATCCACCACAGAAAACATGGTGCCGCTTTTACATTGAAACCTTCAAAGATATTACATTGAAGATTCTTTTCGTTGCTATTTTTATTTCTTTTGTATTCGTTTTCGTTGTTCACTACAAACACCTTGAATTCACAGAGTTTATTGATACCATTTCTATTGTTTTCGCCCTTATGCTCGTTTCATGCGTCACGGCGCAGACGAACTACCAGCAGCAGCAGGCATATCTCGAAATCAACAATGTCAAGAATACTTTCCCCGTCACGGTTATCCGTGCAGGCGAAAGACAACAAATCTTGTCAACACAAGTCATGGTCGGTGATATTCTTGAGCTCAAGGCTGGTGACGCTGTTGCCGCAGACTGTGTCTTCATCAACGGCACTAACCTCACAATCAACAACTCAGCCATGACCGGTGAACCGATTGGTGTCAAGGTCACACACAAGGATCCATTCCTCCGTGGTGGTGGTGCTATTGAGAACGGTATCGGTACAGCTCTTGTCGCCGCTGTTGGTCCAAACTCTCAGTACGGTGTTACAATGACCACAATCACAAACCTTGGTGCAACAGAGACAGAAACCCCACTTCAGAAGAAGCTCAACAAACTCGCTGTCCAACTTCTTTATGTCGCTGTTGTTTGCGCTTCTGTTACATTTGTTGTTGTTATTGGTGAATGGGTTGCTCATCTCGTTAAGGCACTCAAGAGCAAGACATTCAACAAGACAATCATCCAGGATCTCCTTAACAGAATCATGACCGTCATCACAATCTTCCTTTGCTGCGTTCCAGAAGGTCTTCCACTCGCTGTCACACTTTGCCTTTCATTCTCAATGAAGAAGATGATGAAGGACCAGAACTTCGTCCGCCACCTTTCTGCTTGCGAAACAATGGGTGGTGCTACAACAATTTGCTCAGATAAGACAGGTACCCTCACACAGAACAGAATGACAGTCGTCAAGTTCTGGATGGACGGTGTCGAACAAGATGGTCATCCAGATCTTATCGAAGAAGTCAAGGAGAGATTAGCCGAATCAATCGCTATTAACTCTACAGCTTCCCACACACTCAAGGAAGGCACAGACGAGGTCGTCTTTGTCGGCTCATCCTCTGAATGCGCTCTTCTCAAGATGATCTCAGATCTTGGTAAGGATTACATGGAAATCCGTGAACTCAACCCAATTCTCTACCTCAACGAATTCAACTCCGCCAGGAAGAGAATGTCTACAGTCGTATCATCTGAAAACGGATGCCACGTCTACTTCAAGGGTGCTCCAGATTTCTCACTTCCACTCATTTCTCACTACCTCGCTAACGATGGCTCTGTCAAGGAGGCCAACCAAGCCTTCAAGGCATCCGTCCTCGCCAAAGTCAACGACTTCGCTTCTCAGGCTTACAGAACAATGCTTATTGCATACCGTGAAATCGTTGGTGAAGAATCCCAGCAGTGGTCCGATCCAAACTTCGTCGAATCAAATCTTACAATGATTGCCTTAGTTGGTATTCAGGATCCACTTCGTCCAGAAGTTCCATTGGCCATCCAGCGCTGCAAAGAAGCTGGTGTCGTTGTTCGTATGGTTACAGGTGACTTCATTGCTACAGCTCGTGCCATTTCCAAGCAATGCGGTATCATTTCCAGCGAAACAGATATCGTCATGGAAGGTGCAGAATTCGCTTCCCTCTCCAAGACACAGCTCATCGACAAGATCGACAACCTCAGAGTTCTCGCTCGTTCCTCTCCAACAGATAAGTACCGCCTTGTTTCTCTTCTCATGGAATGCGGTGAAGTCGTCGCTGTTACAGGTGATGGTTCCAACGACTCTGCTGCTCTTAAGAAGGCTAACGTTGGTTTCGCTATGGGTATGTGCGGTACAGAACTCGCTAAGGTCGCTTCAGATATTGTCATTCTCGATGATAACTTCTCATCCATTGTTTCCGCTCTCAAGTGGGGCCGTGGTATTTACGATAACCTCCGTTGCTTCCTTACATTCCAGATTCCAGTTAACTTCGTCGCTGTCGCCTGCGCCATTGTCGGTTCCATCGCTATTGGTGACTCTCCACTCAAGCCAATCCAAGTTCTCTGGATGAACCTTATCGATGACTCTCTTGGTGCTCTCGCTCTCGCTACACGTCCACCAGCTGACTTCCTTCTCAAGCGTGCTCCATATGGTTCCAACGATTCAATTGTTTCCAACATCGTCTTCCGTAACATCGCTTTCCAGACATGCTACCAGATCCTTTGCTTGTTCCTCATCCTCTTTGGCCACGAAAAGATCTTTGGTGTTGTAGATCCAACAGAAAACAAATACAACACAAGCTCATGGATTTTCAACACATTCGTTTACATGAACGTTTTCTACCTCGTTCCTGCTCGTCGTGCTTCTAACGATGGCTCTGTTTGGCAAGGATTCTTCCAGAACTACTACTTCCATGCCATTCTCATCTCTCTTGCTGTTGTTCAGATTCCAATCGTTTGCTGGTTCGGCCGTGCTTTCTACACAGTCAAGCCAACAACAAAGGAATGGCTCATCACAATGGCTATGTCAGTCGGAGCTTTCGTCTGGGCATTCATCACAAACGCTTGGCACCTTCCAGATCACACATTGGAGAACCTCAACGCTTACAGAAGAATGCGTAAGGAGCAGGTTCGCGCTTACTACTCTGGCATGACACACGAACAACAGTGGGATGACAAGAACGCTATGAAGGAAATCGATGTCGATGCTAAGCCAGCCAAGGCAGCTAAGCCACAAATCGAAGAAGACCTCATCCCGTAAAGCGACAAAAAATTTATATCTTTTTGCGTCGCTTTTGTCAATTTTTAAATATCTTTTCTTTTATTTATTTACTTATTCTTTTTTTGTTTTTGGTATTTTTATCAATATAAGAATCTTTTAAATTTTTTCCCTCAGATTTATCATGTATACGCTGGTATTTATACTTTAATCGGTGGCTACTGAGGGTTAAGAGCAAAATAACAGTTTAAATAGTAGATATTTCAAAAATAATATTTTTATACAAACAAACAAAAGGTATAGTATTAAAATAAGTATAACCCATCATACAATTATACTTAAAAGTATTCTATCAAGCCATTCTGGGGCTTGGAAGAAGCTACGATGAGTAATTGTATTCGCCATGAAGTGAAGGAAGAAGTAACCATGAGACCAGAACAAAAGAAATAGTTTTGCAACGTTTCTGTCTTCCGATACAAACAAAAATTGTAAGATGATGTAAATAAAAGGATAAACTGTGAGTGGTATGAAATGATTCGCAATTCTGTTGATTTCTATTGATAAATTTGAGAATAGTTTGCAGAATAAGAACACAAAAAACAAAAAAGTACGTGATGAAAGTCCTGGTTCAGGTTCTATAAACCCAGATATAATAACACCAATATGAGCATATAAAAGTAAATATAAAAATGACCCTGGTGAACTATAAAAATGTGTATCTTCGATTTTTGATAGAATCTTATATAAAAGAAATAGTGAAATCGCGGTGATTAGAATTGGCGAGTCTGAGTAAAATGGGGAAAACATAATTCTTTGAATTTCATAATTTTTTAGAATAAAATGAGGGCTAAAGTATATTGTAAATGGATCTATAAACTCCAGACGCATTGAGATCATAAATAATATAGTAAATATTATGTAAAAAAGCGTCATATCATTAACAACTGTTACATTCATAATTTCATGTCACTTTTTATAGAAATCCCATACACACTTCAAACAAGGGAGTTTTATGGGACTCATTATTCTTAGTGAAATAAAGATCCCAATTCTAGATATTTTGGCCGCACCACACATTTTTTAATCATTTGGAGATCAAAGAGTTCATTCCTAACAATTGCTTAGGAATAAGATGATTCAGAGGTCTCAGTGTAGCACTCGTCAGTGGTAATCTTTTGTGATAAGTACTTTGGTAAATAATTTATGAGGTTGACTTTGGAAAATCACTCTAAATTAGTTGATTCTTTGAATTTATCTCAAAGACCATATTTAACTAATAGAAGGTTATATTGACATATCAAATATTGCAAAAATTTAATTAATTCCTCTGGTTTAGAGCCTAAATTGATATATTTATCAAAGTTCCATACTTGAGGTATAGTATATAGTTATCTATATATTTTTATAACATTCGAACAAACTATTTCAAATGCATTCCGAAAAAAAATGATGCAGTATCCCAATGCACAAGATTCAGCCGACATTGAAAATTTCATGATAAAACTTCAAGATTATCCATCTCCAATTCCGGACAGTGTTATTAAACATATTTGTGCGGAATCAGGCCTTAATACAACTGATGCTCGTGTCACAAGCGCAATTAGCGTAGTTACACAAAAATTTATTAGCGAGGTATTACGTAACTGCTCAGATTTTGCTAAAGCTAGAGCTGCCCAAGAAAATCCGGGAAAGATCAGGAAATTGGACTTACAATTTTCTGATTTGAAGCAAGCACTTGCAAAAAGAGGAATACATGTAAACCGTCCAGAGTTTATTGTTTCTCTTCCTCAGAAAACAGATAATAATAACAAAATGTAATTTACTTGTTCTTTAATTGATATAAAATTCATAATGTTTTATACTAAATATTAGATATGTGAATTTATTTAACTACTTAGATTTAATGTAGTTCCCTTCTTTTTAAGTTGAATGGAATCATTTTTTGTACTTTTCTTAAGTATATCATTGATATTATTGTAGTTATTGATAAGAAAACACCAGGTATGTCTATTTATTTAACAGATCTTAATATTTTCTCTCCATAATCAATAATTTATTTCACCAGTATTCCGAAAACGTTGCTCATGTAAGCACTTGTTGTTATGATTGATATTACTTACATTTGTTAATTAAAATATAGAATGTTTAGAAACATAATATTATAATAGCATATCGGCGTGCAGCACCGATATTATAATAGAAAATACCATTTGATGGATTGGAGTTCTACTTCAACCTGGGATATGCAACCACCAGAGAACCTCGACAAAACAGAAATATTTTCCAGTCATAACGATGAAATAAAGAATAAACTTGATACAATTAGAATGCTTCATCAAGCACCAGAGCCACCTCCACAATTACCACTTCCATTCAATGTATTTCAGTCCAGAAAAGAATATATTTCTTCAAATGATCGCATTACTATCATTAATTCCAAATGATTTTACCTTCCATCATATATTAGTATAATTGTTGTTTGAATTCACTACGTAACAGCCTTTCAATAGCATACCTACCATATCAGATCATTAACAATCGGCTTTATCATTTCAAATATTTATTGCTACTTTTAGCAATTTTTCTTACAACGATGCATGTAAAGCAGCATTTATTATTTATTTGTCTTATTTATTTTTTAAATTTTCATTAATTTTATTAAATTTATTTTTAATTTGGTATTCTCAACAATCAAATAACATAATCATGTTTTCTACATTTGAAGTAGATTATATTGGTTTGATCTAAATCCACATTAATGTTTTAATTTCGTTATTTAGATCAAAAATGATTCCGAATTTTATTGAAAAATTGAATTCAACGAATAGTTTACACGGTAATAATTTTGTACATTATTTATATTGATGACAACACCAGCTCCTCCTCCAGCCACTCCTCCTCAAGCACCTAATCTTAAAGGAAGTAGAACAGAAAAAAACCTTGCAGCTGCATTCACAGGCGAATGCATGGCAAGAAATAGGTATTATTTTTATGCAAGCAAAGCTAAAAAGCAAGGATACGAACAGATTTCAGAAATTTTCTTAGAAACAGCTGAAAATGAGCGTGAACATGCTAAAAAATTCCTCAAGCTGATGGGAACTGGCGAAGCAACACCAGTAACGTTTCAGATGGTTATCCCTAATACTCAAATAAATACAACTCTTGAAAACTTACGTACAGCAGAACGTGGTGAAGCTGAAGAAAACAATATCGCTTACCCACACATGGCTGCTATTGCTGAACAAGAAGGTTTCGAAGAAATTGCCAAATATTTCCGCAAAGTCGCTGAAGTTGAACGTGAACATAGAATTAGATTTGGCCTCCTCGCTGATCAGCTCGAATCAGATACATTATTCAAGAAATCCAAGGATTACAAATGGAAATGCAGAAACTGCGGTAACATTTTTGAAGGTCCAGAACCTCCAGAGAAATGTCCGGTTTGTGGCCACGCTCAAAGCTTTTATCAAATCAAGGAAATATTCGAATAAAATTTATGTTATTAAATCTAAACTGAACCATTACTTAGTTACTAGTTTTGCTATATCTCAATGCAAAACTCCAGTATTCTTAGAAATCAAAATTATTTTTCATTAATATTGATTTTAAATGGTTACTTTTCGTACTAAATTCATTAATATATTATCTCTAGGATGATCAGTGGCAATAAATAAGAAATAAAAGCTATTTTGAAATAAAAAACAAAAATTTAGTTGTACAAACATTAGTATATTGAAGTTATAAATAAGTTTCATTAAAAGAATTGTTTGAAATTACTTAGTTAATTATTTGGCGTAGTTATCTGTTGATTTTTCAGATTTTCTAAATCTTCTTCCATTTTTCTGATAGAATGCATTAAATTAAGTGATTTGTCTTGTAAATTTTGAAGTATTGGAAGCGCTTTCGTTTGATTTTCATATCTTCTTTTATTTATTTGTAATATATCATTTTCTAGTTGCTTTTCTTGTATTTTTAGCCTGTTTATATATTGTTCTTGAGTTGTTAGTTCTGATTCAAAGAATTCTTTTTGCCTTTTTGATAATACTGTACATAAAGCTTCTTGATGATATAGGTCTTGCAGTTTGGCTTTATTGCAAGCATTATTTTCAATAACAGATATATATTCTGGCTTAGGAATCTTTTTTTTATTATAAGGAGGCATTGGATTACGTTCCAATTCTTCTGAGATCAATTTATTTACAGCCTCTGCAACTTCGGGTATTTCTATTTGTCTATCAATATACGGATGACAAAATTCACCTTCAAAACTCATTTTAAAAAGGTGACAATGAAATCATAGATAATCATATCAATATATCACAGCTATTGTTCATAGCAAAAATCTCTTCTGACATTCAAATATCACATAGAAAGAGTACTTATATTTGTAAAATATAAAATATCAAATCAAGGAAGATTTAGTTTGTAAAACAAATTCATGATTTATTTAATAGATTCTAAGACTTGCTTTGCTTCGATGACATTTGGATCATCTGGGAAGCCATTAGCTTCATTTAATGAAGCTTGGAGCTTACCAACAAAGTCCTTAAGTCTACGCTCGCAATCTTTGATCATTGCTTCAGCTTCTTCACGAAGTTCAACAAGTTTCTTGTATTCGTATGTGCCTGGTTCTTGTGTTGTATTCTGGACATTATCAGCTGCTTCCTTGGCCTCTTGCTCATAACTGGCCTTCTCCTTGATGAGTCTCTTGACGGCACCAAGATTAATTTTAAGCTGACGGGCAACTTTTGCGTCCATGCAAAAAAATGATGCACGTTTATAATATTCAAAATCGTCACTTTTTATATCAACTATATTTTATATTTAGCCCCGACAAATTATCTCGCAGAAATTCTTCTAGGTAATTTATATCTATATTATTTAACCATATATAATAATTTAGGAGCATGATGCACAGAAATAATTTTAAAATCTCAATAGATGATGTTTCAATTAATATTTGGTCAGGATATGAATGTATTCATGATAGAATAGTTGCTCAGTCACAAACATGGATTCGGCATTTTCCAGATGTTAACATTTTTACTGACTATTTTCCAAGAAAATATTATTCGAAGATTGTAGACATTGCCAAGCCTTCTAAAATACACATTCATGAGCTTGGTAACTGTGCAAGACACCTTTGGAGACCAAATGGATGGGAAAGAGCTCAACCTCGTTTTGTTAAATCCATGGATGAATCTTTTAATCAAAACAGTTCTAAAAAATGGTATGCTTTTCTTGATGATGATTCATATATTTCACGTGATACACTTATTGATATTGTTTCACGCTTTAATGAGTCTGAACCTATTGTAATTGGGAAATTTTATTGTGCTTGGCCAGATGTTGTCTTCGGAAAGGATCATTCGCAAGACTGCCTTAGTTTTCCACAAGGAGGCGCTGGCGTTGTTATTAGTAATTCGATGATGAAATTATTGAAACCACATTTCCTTGAATGCAATAAAAAGTATAACGATAGACATTACGCTGGCTCAATGCGTTTCGCAAAATGCATATCAGATTATATAGATCCAGAAACTTGGAAATTTGGAAAAGGAATACAAAACTTTAAATCACAATTTTTCTCAAGACCACCATTAATGGAGATAGAAGATGGCCTATGCAATCGCCCACCTGCAACATTTCATAAACTTTTACCTAAAGAAATCCTTTTTGCTCATAACGGAATGTACTCACAATGGACAAACTCACGAAATGAAGAAAATTATGTCTCATGGAGTCGATATGCATGCAGAAAAATTAAAATTCCATATGAAAACAATTTTGATGAAATTTTCCTTAGATTTGGTTATGCGTTAACCGAAGACTCCAAAAATTCCATCCTATCTAAGGCTGTTTCTCCAATTTATCCAACATTCGAAGTTGATTCCATTTTTAATGAAACTCAGGTTCCTAAAGTATACCAACAAGAGTTTTCTGGTAGTGTTCATGCAACATTCCACTGCTGCGACGAATGCGATAATGTTACTTTTTATAAAAAGGATGAAGGAGAAATCATCAATTTTCATTTCAGAATTAAATGCCCAGAAGTAAAAGTGTTATAAGCATATATACATTATTTTTATTTTAATTGCTTTTAGTTTATTTTAATAATGTACAAAAATATATTTATTAATTTATTTAAACTCTCCCAAACAAATTTCTTATAATGTATCCAAAAAAACTTTTTTAACGTTTGCAATTATCGCATTCTTCTATTATATTTGAATCAAGTTCTCAATACAAAGTATTTTATAATATCTCGTTCTAAGAAGGAAATTATAAGAGATCATATGTATTTTAGGTGATGTAACAATTAAAATATTTTGAAAAGTTGATGAATTAAATTTTTTAATAAGTATATGATTGTTAATTGACACAAATAGTTGTTAAGTAATCTCTTACTTTATCTCTTGCAACCATCAGTGCAGTTTTTCCATAATTATCCTTTGCTTCTTTATTAGCTCCAACTGAGATAAGATATTGAACAACATCAAGTTTATCATAAGATGATGCCAAAATGAGTGGAGTAAATCCATCATTAGTCTTTGCTTCTTTATTAGCTCCAACTGAGATAAGATATTGAACAACATCAAGTTTATCATAAGATGATGCCCAAATGAGTGGAGTATATCCATCATTATCCTTTGCTTCTTTATTAGCTCCAACTGAGATAAGATATTGAACAACATCAAGTTTATCATAAGATGATGCCAAAATGAGTGGAGTATATCCATCATTAGTCTTTGCTTCTTTATTAGCTCCAACTGAGATAAGATATTGAACAACATTAAGTTTATCATAAGATGATGCCCAAATGAGTGGAGTCCATCCATCATTATTCTTTGCTTCTTTGTCACAGCCACATTCGATGAGTGATCGAACAAGTCTGAGATTTCCGTTTTCACTTGCAATATGAAGAACATTTTTCTCATGCTCAAGTCTAGATTTTTTTAGGAGCAATCTTTTGCCAAAGTCCTGCTTCGATTGATTTTGAAATCATTTCATGGTTTCCATTCGAAGAAAGTTCATCAAGGAATTTGTAAACGGTTTCAAAATCATTAGATTCCTTTAGTTCTGTGATTTTAGTTAAAATATCTTGTGAATGATTGCAATTTTCATTAGTTACTACGGTAGTCGTATCTTTGGTCGCATTTTGACTTTCATGTTGAAATGCTTTGCATTTATCTTGAAATATTTATGTTTTGTTAGTAGAACCGTTTATTACTTCCTCATTCTGTTTTAAAAAATCAATAATACCATCAAATATATTGAATTTCATGTATTTCTTGACAGATTTAAGAATTGAAATGGCTTCTTCGAAGTTTTTGATAGTAACATTTGCTTTTCGTGTACACGTATATAATTCTTTGCCATTGATAGTTGATGAAAATTGTTTCAGAAGAGTAACGTATTGATCTGCTGTCAATCGTGAGTATTTCATGATTGTTTTGATATCTCGCATATCAAATATATCGAAAAAGTTTTCGTTATTAATATAATCGCTGATATGATCAGCAATATATTGGAAATTCAGATCCATGACCTGTTTCGCTTTTTTAGAAAAACCGCAACTTTACAAAATGTCTGAACAAAAATAAAAAATCAAAATTTTGTTCAAAATTAATACTTTATTTATATAGGCTACCAAAACAGGACATGGATCTGAATTTCGAATACATTAACACCATTCTAATCTATTTTTTTCTTAGATTAATGAAACGATTTAACCAATATAGACTAATCATGTTTCTTCTAGTTGAAAAAAATTAAAAAATATTTATATAAAAGTAGTATTTAGACACAAATAACAAATATATGAGCTCTATAGTTTCATCGCGATATTTTGCCATAGTCTGATGGCTCAATAAAGGACCATGTATTATATTCGAAAATTTGACCGGCAGGGTTATACCAAATTTTATTTTCTTTATCATAAACATATTTTCTATTAGTTAGTTCTTGGGCTGCCTCAAATTGTATTTTTTCTCTAGCATGGACATAGAAAATGAAAAGCAAGCTAAAATCGTTGAATGATTTAATTCTATTAATTGCATTTGTTGAATCAGGCTCATGAGGATAGTATATTGATGCCGGGTATTGACCTTGAGCTGCCATTGGAGAATCAGAACCTATATAATAAACATATGGAAGTAATGGTGTTGTTGCTTGAAAATCTATACCAAGATTTGGAAGTTCAAATTCAGGATCTGCTTCCATGTTTTGTGACTGAATGAAATTTGACTCGAAATCATAAGGCTTTGAAATTTCAATCGAAGGAAATTTTGGTTCTTGAACTTTTTGCATTACAACACATGGGATAGCCGAATTGTTGTTTTTAGGAGAATTTCTTTCAATCTGGTTATGGCTGATAGGGGCGCTCTTCGACATATAAAAAGTGACAAAATTAATGAAGTATAATTTTTTGTTTGTAAGTTCAAAATATAATAAGAAAAGGCATTTAAATCACAAATTTTATCAAAATTCTTAGCCATGTCAAAATTGCATATTTGATAGTGCATTCTCCTAAAAATTAAGGGTGAATGGCTACTAATTTAAATTTTAAGGATATTTTCTAGTAAATTCTATTTCATTTTGGTTCAAATGCAATATTTCTGAATCTTTTGAGCTTGTTGTTTCTTTTGACTTAGAGTCTATTGTGGAATGATGCTATATGAACCAAATCGATTTTGAAACATAAGAGATTTTGTCCAAAGAGTACCTTTGAATAATAAAATAGATTTCAAGGATTCTTTTAGGAAGGAGAAAGAGAATTTCTGCAATTTTCCATGATATAATCCATATATTTTTGTTTTTATTCTTTATATTCTATATGATATTTGAAGACAAAAACATTTTTAGTTTATAAAGCATTGTCAAACATATTCTATTAGCTGAGGATATGGCCTAGTTGCTATGTTCTGGCTACTTTCATTTCAACGATACAGAGAAATTTAGCATGGTCCTTGGACAAAGATGACCCTAATATCACCTTTGAGTGCACAAAATGTTTTTTGACGTTCATTTCTGGATAGGTCCCATTTTTTTCTTTTTTGATGTACGTTATTTCAATCCTTTATATATTATTTGATATTTAATAACAACGTCCTAATAGCAGAAAATTTTTATATAAATCATTACCAAACTCATAAATTCTTATAAATCAAAAATTTATTGAAAAGAAAACTCTAGTATTTTATTTAAGCAGGAGTAATTCCGAGCTGATAGGTCAAAACATTCAATTTGGCTCCAGATTGGAAGATTGGCTTCTGGAGATTTGCTTCAACCTTGACTTGGCCTTGAATAAAGGTAAGACCAACACCAGCAACAGCCAGCGATGTCCAAGAAGGATCGCACGACTGTGGGAAGTAAGAAGAGAAGTTTTTAGCGATGGATCCGCTCAAAAAGATGTGTCCGTTCAAACTTTGCTCTGGGAAGATCAAAACGCTTTCATCTAATGTTAAAGAGGCATAAACGTTGCTTCCAATTGGGAATCCTCCATATTTATAGCCGAATTTGGCCGCATCAACGCCATAAATTGTTGGTAAGCCTCCAAGGAGGAATTTCTCTGGATATGGAACAGGAGTCATGTTTTCTAGTGATAATTTAGCTCCAGGACGCTTTCTTAATGAAGAAATAAGTCCCATATTCGCTGTAATTGAAATTCCAAATGGTAAATTGATTTTATTGAATCCTGTAGCTTTAACAAATGGTGTAACTGCCAATTTCGTGTCACAAATAAGGCCTGCATGGATCTGATTACGTTGCATAGGGAGAAATGAAGGCATTCCAGCTCCAATTTGGAATTTGAAGTAAGGATTTGGTTCGTATTTAAGTGGGAATGGAACATCGGAATCTATTGCTTGGCGAATGGCAGATAATGAAATGGATTTTGAAAAAACGTCTTTACCACCACCAAGATTAAATTCAAATCCGGCAGATTGTATAGATTTATATCCATCATCATTCTTTTCTATATTAAATGCGTAAGAATAAGTTCTGAAAGGAGTATTTTTGGAAAAATCAACAGATTTGAAGTCTGGTAATGTAAATGCAACATTGACTGATGGATTTCCTCCTACAGTATACTTGCCTGTAAGAGAAATAGTTTCGCCTCTCTTGAAAAAGTTTGCCCAACCTGTTGAAGCTCTAACTGCTTTCTCTGTGCCTATATCGCCTCCAACATAAGTTTTCATAAGACCATCACGCGCTACGACATTATATTCTCCAGTTTTTGCATCAATTGTCGCAGATTTGATTGAACCAAGTTGTAAAACTTTTTCAGCAATCGACTTCATTGCTGCTTCCTTGAACTCATCATCAACAGTAAGCTTTTTGACCTCATCAATGGCTTCCTGGAGAGATCCTGTTGGGAACCACTCTGGTGCAGATGACATCAAAAATTTTGTTAGTTGGTTGCATCTAGAATTAATTATATTTCAACATTAGTTATCGATATATTGGGCTTAAAATATCATTGCTCAACTTAAAGATAAAATATATTTAATTTATTATAGAATTGAGCATATTATTAAAGTTTTCTCAGTTCAATTTTTCGAAAGCAAAGTTATCATGGAAGGATTTAAGACTTAAAAAAAGAAATTTTCAATTCGAAATAATATATTTTAAACAATATGGAAAATAATAAAAAATTAAACACTCTTTCTTTGTTTCCTTTGCATCCTAGCCATATCTTGATGGAAATCATTTTCCATTTTCAAGAATAAAGATTTCCAAAAGCCAAGGAAAGAGCCACGCTTATGTTCATCATATTTAACGATTGATGAAACAATTGTAATAGGATTGAACCAAATAAAAACAACGAATGTCGTTAAAACAATTGTTGCTGGGTAAGAATTCGAGAAATAGTAAATCATCCAAATAAAATGATTAACTAGTGTAAGTACTAGGGCTAATATATAATCTCTTCTGTCAATTCTGATCTTTGGATAGCCATTAAAAATTAAATATGTCAAAAAACCAGATCCTACTGTAAGTAAAACGCAATTGAAAATTGGAAACTCATAATAGTTGACGAGTGTTAATAGTGTGATCAAAATATTGAATACTCTAACGGTATTTGTTACAATCTTTAAATGTTTCTCTGTTAAATCCGAAAACCAGTAAAAGAATCCGAAAATCATTAAGAGAAATGTTGTGAAAGTAACCATATTCTCAACAGCAATCGAAATCATACTCAGTAACATGATAAAATGTCACTTTTAGAATTTGGAATTTCATATCTTTAATATTAGCGGACAACTAATCCCATCTGAAATGGAACCGAATTTTTTCTTTTTCCTTTTGATTTGGTTTCTCATATTCTTCAAATCTTTAAAAATTTAATTACTATCGTGATAAGCATGTCAATATGCAACAATTTTCGAATTCAATTGCATATGTAAACGAATTATGCATAAATTTAATATGAATTGTTCATAATATGGTAAACATCACAGATAGTAATACATAATATGAGCATACTAACCACAATTCACAGTTTCAATGATATAGGTTGAAACACAAAAAAAGAATGAGTTAATTTCGACAAACAAAATAAAAACAAGTTTAGTTGATAGGAATAATAGTTCTAATACGATTCTTACTTCCTATTAGATATTGCAATCGCGAAGATCTGGTTCTATTTGTTGTAAATGATTTGATACTTCTTTGGCAAATTGGAATTGTATTTCCAACTTCAATAAATTTGTATTCTGCGTGCATCTTCTTCCATTGTTCCATAGGAGGAAGCATGGACATACTGTATTTACTTTTTTTTACAAGTTGTATAAAACCGCAGGAATTATTAGAGTTCATATAGTAATGGCTTGATGAGAATATTGTAAGAACGCATCCATTGAAATGCTCTTTGAGACCATCAACGCATTCATGAGCTCTAATAATATATGTTAATTTATTTGAATCTAAAAATTGCCTTGCGGCTTGGAATCCGAAAAAGAATCCTCGGCCTCTAATATTATCGGAGAACCATGCCATAGAGTCGCTAGGATCACTCCACATCAAGCCAGTGATTAAATCACCATCGTCGGCTTCATCGTGAAATGTTTTGATTGGACGTTGTATGGATTCGATTTGTGAGACTTTTTCAAGCTTCGGACAGATTCCACCATGAACAAGGAAGTATTCATCGTTTATTATTGCTGCTAACGGTAGATATGAAAAGACTTCATTAAATAAGTTGAAGATTTGCTCATCATAGTCGTTGATGCATTGATCACGAAATCCGTAGAATGAATTAACCATTTCAAATTCATGATTGCCTCTAAGTAAGTAAACGTGATGGGGATATGCAAGCTTGAAACTAAAAAGAAGAACCATAACCTCAATTGAGAAATCTCCTCTATCGACATAGTCACCAAGGAAAACATAGCCATTCTGAATCGGAGTACCGCAGTATGCAAAAACTCTTAAAAGATCGCGAAGATTTCCATGTATATCTCCAATGACATTAAACAAACCATCAAGTCGAATTAATGATGGTTCGTCTCTGAAAATTTCAATCATTTTATGTAAAAGATCAACGAGATCTGCTCGTTTGAGTTTGGGTATTTCAAAGTCTCCTTTAGTAATGTCGAAATGTTGAGAAGAATTTTGGATTAATGGAAGATAAGCATCTATTATGCTACGAGAAAGCATTTGTATGAATAAAGGTATTGAAAATTATTTTTCAATGCAACTTAATGGTTCAGTGAGAAAAGTTTATAATAGTACTGATTTAAAGCAGATTAAAAAAAGGTAGTGGGGCTTCCAGGCGCTTCGTGCCCTCTAGCACCTAAAAAAACCTAGAGGAGAACTAAAAAAATTATATAGTAAAAAATTAAAGTTTTTATTCGATAAGAACGACATCGCTATTGTTTTCTTCTTCCTCCTCCTCTTCTTCATAGTCAGTATCTGATGGCTCTTTGTCAGCCACATGACCAGCAACAAATATTGAGACAAATTGTTTCTTTGGTTTTGTTAGCAGGAACTTTTGATGGTCGTAGAACACGAATTCTACATTTTGAAAATGTTGTGCTGAGTATTCTGTGAAATGGGAAATTGGAATTGGTTCTCCCATGCCAAAACCAGCAATGGACGCGAACAAAACATCGTCTTCGACTCTTGCAGGTTTGTCAATTGCAACAGTAGTTATTATGTGAGGTTTTCCTTCACATCCTGCAAGAGATTGTACATGATAGATTGCTTTTTCTTCTCCCTCAGGAACTGAAAGTGTGAAATGGAATGAGAGTTCTCCATATTCATTTGCTTCTTCGTAATAGTTGTATGTTGTAGGATACACCAATTGAAATTTTCCTATTCTTGTTTCCCTCAGGTGTTGTCTATATTGCTTGGGAAAACATAAAATAAATTGCTCTATAGCTTATGTTGCTATTAGATTAGTTGTAACTGGTAATTTTGAGGCGAAAATGTCTACAAGAACACCGGGATTTTTTATGTCGTTTTCAATTGGTTTAAGAGATTCTATGACTTTGTTAAACATTTCACTATAATCTAAGTTGTCTTCGACCCCCAATTGTTAAGAAGTTTATACAACAATTTCAGTCTTTTCATGGCGTATTTTCTTTGAATGGATTCGGGTAGCGAGAGGTTACAGTCGTCGCTTTGTGTTTCGTTACTCGAATATTGTTCAAGAGAAATTAAATCTTGAAATTGTGCTCTTGTTAACATACTTGTAGTTTGAGAGACTATATCTTGTTCTATTGGTTGTACATCTGTTTCAGATGTTTCTGTTGTGTTTTGAGAAGAAGAAGAACTCAAATTGTTGGACAATTTGTCTTGAATTGTAAAACTATGTGAAACTTGTTCTGGTGCTGTTTGGACAACTGTTTCAGATGTTTCTGTTGTGTTTTGAGAAGAAGAAGAACTCAAATTGTTGGACAATTTGTCTTGAATTGTATGAGGAGGTTGCTTTGGTATTATAGGAGGTCGTAAGGGTTTTGAGAATGGTGAGACATAAGTTGTAGGAACTTTAACTGCAGAGGTAGTCGACGAATTGTTTGCGACACTTGTTCTTCCTTCCATTATGAAAAATGAACTGTTTTTTTCGGACCACTCATAGAAAAGTTTGAGATAAACCGTTTTCGTCAACGGAGACCCCCTCTATTTTTTTATTTTATTTAATAGTTACCGTGGGAAAAACGGTTTATCTCAAATATTGAATGAACTATAAACGTTTTTTGTTTTCTATATATACTTTTTGTCCAACGGTAAAACTTTTTACACAACGGTTTTTGAGAGTCGTCGCCGTTGACTTTTTTGTAGAGCATTCAAAATAGTATAACTTTGTCCGGACAAGTAAAGGTCTATCGTCACTACAGGAAAAGTTACAGGCGTTCCAAGGAAGTATACTTTGAGAAGCCTTTTCTCCCTTATATAATGAGATAAGACGGTTATTTTGCAAAACTGACAACACTTTGACCGAGTAGTTTTTTGAGCTGAACAAAAAGTGTCATATAAACATCTGTCAAAAACCGCTTTTTAACTTCACTTAAAATGCCACGTAAGCTACGTAAGAATATACGTAAGAGGAAGGGAGCATTGAAACATCCAATAGTAAAACTGACACCACAACAACAGTTGCAACAACAAATGATGAATGACCCCACTATGTTGCAACAAATGTCAAGCAACCCTATGCTTTTAAACCGAGTTATTGGTGCACAGAGTGGAGGTTTAAGAGCGGCACTTTTAGCGAAAATGGCAGGCTATGGTGGAGCTGCAGACGGAACAGCTTATAACCCTCAAAGTCAAATGAATTTGAGTTCACTCAAAAATCAAATAACAGATGTCAAAAAGTCAAACATAGACATACAGAAACAAATAAGTGAAAACGAAAAGAAACTAGAATATGACAGACACACAAAGAAACTCAATGAGTTAAACGTAGAGAAAAAGAAGAAAGAAGAACAACTGAAAGAACTAAGTACAGAGGAATATGCGAAAAAAGTGTCAGAAAAAGCAGCAGAAGTAGCAAAAATGGAACAAGATGTTATAAATTTGAAAAACCATAATACTCAATATAAAGTACTGAAAGATGAAGAGATAAAACAAAAAGCCATGAAGACATATATGGATAGCGATGAGTATAAAAAAGAAGTTGAAGCAAATGTAAAGGCAGAAAAACTTTTACAGTTGCAAAACCAAACCGTACAGTATGAAAACTTAGCACAAGAAAGTAAAAATAACGACGCAGCCATGCAAAAGGCAATGAAAAGCGCAGAATATATAAAAGCTAATAATGACTGGTTAGATGCCCAAGCCAACGCTAAAGCAGCCCAACTTATAGGGTCAATAAGGACAAAAATACAAGCGGATGAAGACAGTTCAAATGAAGTTTTAATGAATGCTGACTTTAAGAATGCCTTCGAAGCTCTTCATAGTAAGGTGAAACTAGTGAACGACTTCTCATCTGGAAAGAAACTGAAGTCTGAAGGTTTCGACAAAGAGTTAAGAGAAGTAGCACAAAATATGACGAAAATAACAGATGCAGCAACGAGACAGGCAGTTCAAAGTGCCAATGACGCCGTTAGAGCAGCTGTTGTGGAAAGTCAAGAAAAAGAGTTACAACAGACCAAAACAGACCTAGTAAATGCTTTCTTAAGAACGAAAAGTCAGGTAGGACATTATGCTGCAGATGGAACATATGTGCCAGCTGGTGGAACTTATATACCACCAAACCCTCCAAGAGAAGCACCTGCACCAGGACTACCTAAAACATTTACATCGTCACATGGACACAGACACAGGCATGCACCAAAACCAACATTACAACCAACACAGCAACCAACAGTTCAAAATCCATCACCACAACAACAACCAACAGTTCAAAATCCAGCACCACAACCAAAACCAGCACAACAACCAACAGTTCAAAATCCAGCACCACAACCAACAGTTCAAAATCCAGCACCACAACAACAACCAAAACCAACAGTTCAAAACTCTGCACAACAACAACCACAAACAGAGCAAGGACATAAAAGAAGTAGAGAAAAAGGAAACCAAGAATTCTTAAAAATGCTTAAGGAAGATTATGGTTACCCAGATACTCTTGACTTTAGTGACAGATATAAAGAAGCTATTAGAAAGTTCAAGGAAGGAAATACTGACCCGAACCTATTTAGCTTTATGGTTCAGCATCAAATCGGATATAATCTCAAACCTGGAAAATACAAGCTCGCTAAGGGATATGATTTAATAGCATATCATCCAAATGACATGAATGAATTTACTCCGAGATATTTGATGTCAGAGCTAAATGATAATTCAACTCTCTTCATGAAACGCGTAAAAAAATAGAGACGGAACGAAAGAAGAAAGTTTATGAGTCCGGATGACTTAGATAGGGAACTTGTTAAAACGGTCTCGGAATATATGAAATGCCAGCAGATGAGGTACAAGAAACTCCACAGGAAGAAGTTCAGATACAACCAGACTGGAAGAAATAGTTCAGCAACAACAGCTAGAAGAGCCTGAAGGAAACGAACAAGTCCCTCCTTTGGAAACTAACTTCACAGAACTAGATGAAGATTTGGAACAGCCGAAAAATCTTGACCCTCAACAAGAGTATGAGGAGAATATGGAATCTTTCCAAGAGTCTAAGAAAAATTCGGCTGACATAGTAGAAGAATATCGAAAAATGTTCACCGACATACAAAAAGACTCCAACATCAGATGAAAATTTCAGCATAGAATGGAAGTACTGAAAGAAAATGTACGCAAATACAATAATCCTTTTTACTTACGACCATATAACATTCAATCTTTGGCTGAACTCGGTGAAAATAAAAGGTTTAAATTTCAACAAACATATAGAAATGAAACATTGTTTAAAAGTTCATTCAGAACCTAACCAATATGGAAACAAACCTACTTTTGTTTCTGCAGACTATGGAACTACAATGAAATGGGGTCATAAAGCTAATCCGGATAGGTGGTTCATAAACTTACAACCTCAATTCCAAGAAGTTGTAGACGCAATGGAAGTGAATGGTGAACCAGATATAACGGGTATTTTCAGCGGCTTTAATGCCATTGAAAGATATGAAAGATGCAGATATTTTGGACCAGTATGAAATGAACATGGCTGAGGGAAATATAACACCTGACGTTCTAGAACATTTATCTCAAAGAACTACACAGAACCATAGAGATGGTATATTTGGTGAAGAGTTTAGAAAGAGAGTTAGGGAGAGAGAAGAAGGAGAAACCTATTGTACATGACCTTGCAAACGAAAGTTTGCAAAATGTCATAAAAAACTTACTTTGCAGACAATGAACCGAGAAGGGATGAATATTTAAGAAAACTCAAATGGACAGTACCAAATGAAATGTTAGTATTGAAAAACATGTTCCATGACAAATAAAACCAACTACAGAAATAAATGACGCAAGACTGAAACGTTGGGTAAAAGCTTTCCCATTCACAAAAGATATTATTGGTTACATGGAAAGAAAACCAGAATGGCTACAAAAACATATATTTGGAAACGAGCTTATTCCATATGGACAAGCTATATTTGAAGAGCTTGAACCGGAAACTCAGGAAAGAGTCATGCAAACAATAAGCGAAGACTCAAATACAAACTATGACAAAATCTTTCTAGGATATAGGTTACCTGAGATGGGCGACCAGAGCCCAAAGGCAAAAAGGACATGGGAAATTTACAAACATACTAGGTGAACATGAGGCAAAGATGCTACAACTTGAAGCAGAGGGCAAGTTACCAAAAGCGACACAAAGAAGAAGAGAAGAGTAGAACAAAGTGAAAGTAGTGAAGAAGTAACTTCATCTAGTGAAAGTAGTGGCAATGAAGGAAAAAGAAGAGTTAAAGATTCAGTTAAAAACTCAGTCAGGAAGAAAGTAAAGCTTGGTCCGAGTGGGTTCTATTATGACATATAAATCCAACTATTCTATATTTTTACCCATATGAAATGTACGCCGCTCAGAATATAACGCCAACAGTTTTGGATGCCATGAACGGAAATGTTTCCGAATGGTATAACGAATGCGACAATGCCATTAGAAGGTCAGAAATAGTTCCTGGAACTTACGAATATACAACTGCTGTTTCTTATGGAACGTAGGTGAGTTTGGAGAAGGTTCTTCAACAACAGTAGATATTGCTTGCGACAGGTTTCATATTATTTCTATTGACAACTCATTCTTATACGTGGAACAAGACATTGAAATAAACCTTCTGTCAAGTTGTCTGACAAGAAAGGTTGCAATGGAATTTTCTATGTCGGATACCAATATGCTCCAGAAGTTTTCATGGGATATAAGATATATTCTAACTCTGACTTAGTTCAAACAGTAACATGGGCAAACTATGAATGGTTCGCTTTGAGAAACTCAGTACAACCACAAGCTAGAGAACAAACAGACCAGTATGCAACTATTGAGAAAATAAGAAGACTTGACCCTAACGTTCCAGGAGTTTATGTTAACCTTTCTGGACAAACTGCAGCAGCAGTAACCAAAGTAAAACTGAAACTTAGAGTTCCTTTGTCATCTTTCCTCATCTTCAGGTTTTTAAGATACTTGCCAAACTGGCAGGAAAAATTTCTATCGAACTTACTCCAAGCAAAAATAACTTAGTCATTGCACCAACACAAGACCCATTCACTATTACAGACGTAAGGGAACAATCAAACGTCATTCGCCGAATTTTGCAAAGACAAAGTTGACTTAGACTTTGGTTTCTCAAACTTCAACAATGAAGTAAACTATTATTTCAATGCTGCTGGAACTGCTTGGGACCCAGTTAAGTTCACATGCGAAAAGTTTGAATGCAAGAGAATAGAAAGCAGACTTGCCGTTTATATGTTGGACCCAGATATTTCAAATGCTTTAGCTGCCAAATATATTGCAGTTCCACTTATGTTCCCTATACACCAAATATCTGTCAAAGACTTTGCAGGTGAAGTTGGAAACCAAAATCCAGGAGCCGCAGGTGCAAGAACAGATATTGCTTTAACAACTGCAATGAAACATGCAGATACTATGTTTGTACTGTTCA